TATAACGAAAAAAAAGACAAAAATACCAATATCTATCGACAAGATTTTGGAAAAGTATATATTTTTTTTGGTCCATGTTACTCTCTGTTTTTTTTTTATATCCTTTACTACGTTAAAAACACTATTTTTAATTTCCAATCGCTTCTTTCTAAACACATTAAACGCCATCGTTTAATTTTTAATACAACTATTTTTAACTAAAAGTATTAAACATTTTGAAAGTTAAACAAAAAAACGTAAAACTAGTAAGTCTGTTAAAAAAACTTTAACTTTTATCAGCGCTAAGCCAAGCCTTGATTCAGATAGAAACGTATTAAAAGTAGTACCGAAGACGAATGAGAAATTAAAAAGGTCTATAATTTCCAGCCAATCAGCTTACTTTCAGATGTTAACAGTCTCTGATAAACATCTATTGTCATATATATATTACTTTTTTACAGTCTCTGATAAACATCTATTGTCATACATATATTACTTTTTACAGTCTCTGATAAACATCTATTGTCATATCTATATTACTTTTTACAGTCTCTGATAAACATCTATTGTCATATGTATATATTACTTTTTTACAGTCTCTGATAAACATCTATTGTCATATCTATATATTACTTTTTTACAGTCTCTGATAAACATCTATTGTCATATCTATATATTCCTTTTTACAGTCTCTGATAAACTTCATCTATTAAGGCTGTTTAATTCATCTAAATTACAGTGTAAGACTTACTTGAAGCTTCATACAAAGTTTTTATCAAATTAGACATACAGTAGTTATGTGATATAATACTTTCTTAATGCGTGTAACTGCAAGCTATTATATACTGAGTTATCTAATGTAATTGTTTTACTTCCAAAGCACACACTACCAAATGAGCCAGCCACCAAAAGATTCGCGTTTTAATCTCTGTGTGAAAACAGAAACAAATTAACGTGATTTTGAGAAATACAGAAGTTACAAACCACAGGTATACTCTACTTTTGAGGAATACAGAAGTTACAAACCACAGGTATACTCTACTTTTGAGGAATACAGAAGTTACTAACCACAGGTATACTCTACTTTTGAGGAATACAGAAGTTACAAACCACAGATATACCATAGTTTGAGGAATACAGAAATTACAAACCACAGGTATACCATAGTTTGAGGAATACAGAAGTTACAAACCACAGGTATACCATAGTTTTGAAGTTACAAA